ATTTCATTTTGGATTCTTCATTATCAATGTATAGAAATGCAACTGATTTCTGCATGTTGATTTTTATCTTGTAGCTTTGCTGAATTTTTTAGTTCTAACAGATTTTTTGTAGAATCTTGGGGTTTTCTACATAAAAGATCCTGTCATTTGCTCACAGAGACTATTTAACTTCTTCTTTTCCAATTTACCACACTTGATTTTTGTCCCCAGCATCTGACATACCAGAAATTTAACTGTTTATTAGTTTAGAGTCTGACTCCTCCCAGACAAAAATGTAAGCTCCATTGAGACAGGTAATTTCTGCCTGCTTTGTTCACTGCCCCTAGAGCAATGCCTGGCTCACTGTAGGTGTTCAATAAATAATTATAAAATGAACGAATCACCTCACCTGGCACATGGAAGGGACTTGGCAAAAGGTAGCAAGAAATAATTATTGTTTTTTTACATAGTATTTCACTGCACGAGTAATAATGAAGGCTTAGAATGAAAAGGGTGTTTTTTATGCAGAATGGTTGCAGTGTCAAAAAACAAATAGCACCATGATTCCAGCTGCACTGGAGTCCCGGGGCCGGTCCAGCTCACTCCCTGACATGCCCCGCTTTCAAGTAATCCCTGTGGCTATCACAGATGACAACTGCATTCAGGTGCCAATCTACACAGAGGGACTTCTGTAAACAGACTGCTCTGTCCTATCGTCTCTGCCCAAATCCTCCAAGATATCCCATGCAGCCAGGGCTGGCCTGACCAAAGTGCTGGCCAAGTGGCCAATGTCCAAGTCTGTGGAGCTGGAGCCGGGACAGGGACTCCTGCCAAAGACAGTACATAGAACTAAGAGCCAGGGGAGCCTGTCACAGCCCACTAGGAAAAGCCTGGGTTCCAGTACAAACAGAAGCCAGAGGGCCAAGGGGGAGCCAAGGCCAGGGCAGCAGAGCCAAGAGCTCAGAGTCTGTCTGTCAGTCAGGAGCCAGTCCCGGGATGGGTGGGGGAGTATAGCGGTCACAGTCTGAGGCACTCACTGGGGCTGGCACTGGAAATTGTGGGCAACAGGGCGGGGCCCAGGTGAGTTGGGACTGGGACAGGACAGGCATGTCAGCCTCTTGGCAGATTCCTGGCTCAGCTCCTTTTGCACAACACTCTCAGGGCTTAAATGTAAATGCTTCCTGGGAAAGGCTGTTTCTTCTCTCAGGGTGTGAGTAGAAAAGTAACCATCCTCCCCGGCATTCCCAAACACCTTCTAAGGTGAGCTGACCTTACAACGTTCTTCCATTTTAGATCTGATCACCCACCTGGTATTTCTCTAAATACAAAAATACCTCAAATGGAGATTACCTAAAATTCTGATAAAAATAATAATCATAATACATGTAATATAAATGAAATGCAACCAATGTCCTACTAGTTCCCCTCTGATCTGCTGAGACTGAGCTTCCTGAGAAAATAGTAGATGATTTAGATCAGTGACTCTCAACCTTTATGATCCCTGGACCTTTTTTGAGGATTCCAAAGAGGTTTTGTTTGTCCAGGCTATAGCTGTCAATTTATCATATGGCAGAATTGTTACGAAAACTAATCATAATTTCAAAAAACTCATGAGAAGAATGGCATTGTTTCACATTGTTTTAATATCTGGCTCAATAAAAGATAGCTGCACTTTCACGTCTGCTTTTGTGCTGTCTGTTGTGTTATGTTGTTTTGGTTGAAGTTTATGATGGATATCCAGTGTCTCACATGCACGTAGTTGGACATATACTTTCCAAGGACCACCTGAAAGGGTCTTGGGGACACATAGGACCTTACTTTGAGAATCACTGGTTTAGATAATGATGGTGCAACTATGCCCCTCACTCGTGTGGATCATGGGGATAAAAACTAGAACTCTGGGTGAGAGAGAGAATGGTTGTAGAGTGGTGGTGGGAGGAAGGAGTCAGGGGTAGGATTTTCATTATCCAGGTATCTGTCCCCAACCCGCACTACACTTGGCTGAAAGTAGCCTCATCCCAGCTGGCTCCCTCCTGGGGAAAGGTAATGTTGAGATGCAGTTTCCTTATGAGCCAGCTGCAAACCCTGATTGATAGGGACCAAATGCTTAATGGGAACAATTTTGGGGAGACAGGGTGCAGGAAAGGAGGCATAATGCAGCAGTCCTCAACCCCAGATGCACAGTGGGTCACCTGGAAGGACCTCATTGGCCCGAGCAAAAGCCTTCACAGCAGGAGCTTTGAAAATTGTCTGGCTGTTTCTATCGTGCAGACAGAGCCAAGCACCACCTGTTTGACATGGGCTCAGGAAGCAGAGCACCTGGGTTTGAATCCCTGGTTCACTAGTCATTTATATATACAATTCACTAATTGTATAACTAACCTCACTCCAATTACTCAGCTTCAGTTTACTTATCTGTAAAATGGGAATGCCGCGAGGGATGTTGTGAATATTGAATGACATCATCTATTTAAAGTTCTTAGTGCTGGGACTGGCATAGAACATGTACTCAGTCAACCTGAGTTGTCACTGTCTGTTATGGTGAAGATCAGTGCAGGCTGTCAGACTCTGTCAGCTTCCAGGGATGAGCATCTCTGAGGAAGCTGTCCCCACATAGGACAAGACACTGCCACAAAGCAGATGTTAAGACCTGGGTCTTCTGTCTCTGCATCTGGAAATAGAGGCAGTTGGTGACTCTCCCTGCCCAGGATCCAATTCTGGAAACTTCAGGGGAACAAGAGAGCTCTTGGCTGAGGTGCACAAAGGTGACGTCACTAGAAACAGGTGCAGAAGTCGGCACAGAGAACAATGATAGTGTTCACACTGTGTGTGTGTGTGTGTCTGTGTGTGTGTGCACGCACACTCTGCAATCAGACTCATACTGTTTTTTCCCTTTAAAATGATTGAAACATCTAAAATCTATTACAGATGGCAGAGGGGAAAACACAGCGTGGAAATATTCTAATGGCTTATTCTTGGCCTGCGGACTGTCCATAGAGACCTGGAGCGAATGAGACACCCTCCTCATTTGTCCCCTAGAACATCATCATTACACATTATACACTGCGTTCTGCCTCAGAGCTCATCGGATCATCCACAAAAGTGAAGAGCAACACGAAAGGGGGTCCAGGGAAACAAAGACGGGCCTGCCACGCTCCCTGAGCAGGCAGGACAGCCATGACTCAATCGTTTTATTAAGAGGCAGGACGAATCATGTAACACTTCTTCTAGAATTACTGGATGTGGACAGCTCCTCCAGCTGTTTTACAGGGTGGAATTTGAGAGCCTTCAAACACAGATGTGTGCCGCTGAGTCTCATGACATCCGCCCAGCGAGATGAGCCTGCCGCACTGATGGACAGTTTGGTTTCCTTCGGGTTTACTGGCTTTTGCGAATTCATACAGAAAGAGGTGCCAAACAGGCCAAGATAATTCACAGAAATGACTGGAGGGATCGTCTAGGGCCAATCCTGTGCCTCCTGGAGGAATTATATCTAATCACCCAGGACAGAGAGTTGTCCAGGCTGCCTAAGGCCACTAAGTGAGCCAGGAAAACAGGAAGATAATTGGATCCAGAGCTCAATACGCTTCATCAGGAACGAGATTACAGAGGCTAATCCTTCAGACTCAGCGGGTCGGGTGGCAATTAACAAGCCTCATTAAGGGATCAGCTCTCACGTCCGGGTCTCGAGTATTGACACTAAGTTAAGCCACAGACATGTTGGGCTGATTAAGGGAGCAAGAAGCTGGCCACAGGCCAAGATTTCACCTTCCAACCAGCCCCATGCCGAATGCACTTGGAGGCTAGTCTGATACAGAGAGTGGTTGGCAGCAAAGAGGTTGGTTGTTTTTGTATTTTTTTTTCTTTTTTGGTTGTATTCACAGCTCTAAATGGATGCTCCATCAAGAGGCAATTTCCTAGCTTGAAAATCTCTGCCAAACTGCTCGGTATGAAATGATTTTTTACACTTTGCAAGCACGCTCCACTCTGTCATGTGGGAGTTTTCCTGTGCCAAGTGAACCTCCATCTGCACATTCTCCAGCTCAGCTGACACTGCAGTGCCCTCATCAGTGTGGAGGTGCCTGCAGTACTGCAGTGCAGGTGGTGCCAAGGCTCTGCCTGTAATTCCTTCCTGAGAAGACTCCAGGATTGGTCCTTGTCTCCTTAGACAACCTACCAAAGGTTGGTGGGATTGTGGGGAAAGGAGAAGGATCTACGTTCAAGCATGGATCCCAGGCCTCCACTAGCTCTGTTCTATGCTCCACAAAGAAAGGCGCCCCTGCGGTCTCCTGAACGAGGAGGACTCCATCCCTCAATCCTCAGACTCTCCCTCCCAGACCATGCTGGGTGGGGAGAGGGCTGGGCTGCTTCAGGACAGGGCCGGCTCCTCAGCACGCCACTGAGCCGCAGCTATCCCAGTTCAGGCTCCTCCCCAGGGCCTCTCACAGGAGGGGTGGTTTGGGGTTTTTTGTTTGTTTGTTTGTTCATTTTGAGACAGGGTCTCACTCTGGTTGCCCAGGCTGGAGTGCAGTGGTGCGATCATAGCTCACTGCAGCCTCAACCTCCGGGGCCTCAAGCGATCCTCCCACCTCAGCCTCCCAAGTAGGTGGTACTATAGGTGTGGGCCACCATGCCTGGCTAGTTTTTGTTTTGTTTAGTTTTTTGGGCTTTTTGAGTTTTGTTTTGTTTTTGTTTTTGTTTTTTGAGACAGAGTCTCGCTTTGTTTCACAGGCTGGAGTGCGGTGGTGCAATCTCAGCTCACTGCAACCTCTGCCTCCTGGTTCAAGGGGTTCTCATGCTTCAGCCTCCCAAGTAGCTGGGACTACAGGCGTGCACCACCACACCTGGCTAACTTTTGTTTTGTTTTGTCTTGTTTTGGTTTGTTTAGTAGAAATGGTGTTTCACCATGTTGCCCAGGCCACGTTTTGCCATGTTGAGGCCAGGCTGGTCTCGAACTCCTGGCCTCAAGTGATCCACCTGCTTCAGTCTCCCAACGTGCTAGGATTACAGGCATGAGCCACTGTGCCTGGCCAGTTTTGCATTTTTTTGTGGAAACAGGGTTTCACCATGTTGCCCAGGCCAGTCTTGAACTCCTGGGCTCTGCCCAGGATCAGCCCACCTTGGCCTCCCAAAGTACTGGGATTACAGATGTAAGCCACCACACCCTGCTGAGGTATATTTTCTCCTATGTAAAATGTTAAGAAAGCCATGAAGCTGAATGAACTTGGCTAAAATATATCATTCCTAATACTGATACAAAGGAACTCACTAAACACGTATTTTTTTCTTTGTTTCTTCCTTTTTTCATGAGGCTAAATTGACTAAAATAATATCACTAAATTTAGAATGACAGTTTTTAGACAAATAAGATATAAACTTTGGATAAGTCTAAAGTGCTTTAAAAGCCCTTAAGATGAGTTATTTCTATTTCCCAGCTATTTAACTTTATCCCTAAATTATATCGGTTTTGTGTACAAATATTTTATTACTTCTGCTGATACTCCTATTCCCTTGCCTGTGAGATTGGAGAAGTGAATGTGTGGGCCGAAGGAAGGGTTCCTTAGGTTAGTGGGAGTGCGGCAGAAAAGGGGCCTGAGGAAGACGTTCTCCTCCACCGAGACGTGTCTGTCAGCTGCCCTCAGCATGAGATCAATGGGCTTAGCAAGTCACAAAAGCAAACAAAACAAAATCTCTAGGCAAATTAACACAGGAACAGAAAACCAAATACCGCATGTTCTTACTTATAAGTGAGAGCTAAACATTGAGTACACGCAGACACAAAGAAGAAAACAATAGGCACGAGTACACACAGACACAAAGAAGAAAACAATAGGGAGGAGGGTAGGAGAAGGGTGAAGGTCAAAAAACCACCTATCGTGAGTTCTGTGCCCACTACTGGGGTGACGAAATACTCTGTACATCAAACCTCCATAACACCCAATTTATCCATATAACAAAAATGCACATGTACCCTCTAAACCTAAAATAAAAGTTGGAAAGAAAAAAAATCTCTCTCTCTCTCTCTCTCACACACACACACACACACACACACACACACACACACCCCATACCAAAATAACAGTGACACTTACCAGATCCTGAACTGCACATTTTAACAGAGGTAGACCCATGGCAAACCTCACTCTCTGAACTGTCAAAGCTCTCATTTCATCCAAGCTTAAATCATACCTGTGAAGAACAGATACAAAACAAGACAGCCAATAATTGGTGACTGAGGGGAGGCTGTGGATACTTTGACCCTGGGCTCAGAGAGAAAAGCTGTGTCCATCATAACGCTTGTTTGATACTGTGCACAGTGTGTGTGTTACATAGACTGGGTGTTCAATACAGTCAGACACCAGGAGGGATGTCTGACAGGATTTCCAGACAAGACCATCTTATTATTATTATTATTATTATTATTATTTGAGATGGCGTCTCACTCTGTTGCCTAGGCTGGAGTGCAGTGGTGCGATCTCGGCTCACTGCAACCTCCGCCTCCTGGGTTCAAGCGATTCTCCTGCCTCAGCCTCCCGAGCAGCTGGGACTGCAGGTGCCCACCACCACACTCAGCTAATCTGTGTGTGTGTGTGTGTGTGTGTGTGTGTGTGTGTGTGTGTATTTTTAGTAGAGACAGGGTTTCACCATATTGGCCAGGCTGGCCTTGAACTCCTGACCTTGTGATCCACCCGCCTCGGCCTCCCAAAGTGCTGTGATTACAGGCGTGAGCCACTGCACCCGGCCAAGACCATCTTAAAACAAGACTGCAGCACCTCCTGCTCCACAGGGCTTTGAAAATTGTCTGAGATGACTTAAAAGCAGCATTTGGGAGATAGGGGAGAGGGAGTGTCATGCATGTTACAAGAGGTGGACTGTAGTGGCCATAAGGATTGCCACTCAGGGTTGCCTTTGAGAATACCTGCCTCCAGCTGCCACACCTTCGAATTAACGGAGTGATGGTAATTACATTCACCGTGAGGCTGCTCATCTCTTGGCTGCTACCAGCTGATGGTTAAGCCTCACAAGGTTCTAGAGTCAGGCCATGCCTGTCCAAGAGGTGACCTGCTCTGGGACCCCCACTTGCCTGCAGAGATTTGCCATCACTTCACTGTGGTCTGTGGCTTTTGCAGATCAACCCTTTCCTGCCCCTCTCTTTTCAAGGGGGCCAGACCTGACGGCCTTTGCTCTGGGGGTTCTCCCCACCAATCCAGCTCCCTCCCACTTACCCTTCACAGGTGTTTTCTCCAATTAAATCTCTTGTACATCTAGTCTCATCTTGGTGCCCACTTCTCAATGAACCTAAACTGACACAGGAGGAGAGGTTCCTCTTTGGCCACCTAGCATGTTTCCATGCAACGCACAGCCTGAGCCTGGAAGACCGCACTCAGGCTACATTTCAGAGCCAGAGGATATGAAAAGGATGGCCTAATGACAGAAAATCTTCTTGGAGATACCCACCCTACAGGAGAAAAACACCAGAGCAAAACACACCCATCTTCCTCTCCCGCAGCTTCAGGGGGGCGCTGCTCTTCCTCTCCCGCAGCTTCACGGGGGCGCTGCTCTTCCTCTCCCGCGGCTTCAGGGGGGCGCTGCTCTTCCTCTCCCGCGGCTTCACGGGGGCGCTGCTCTTCCTCTCCCGCGGCTTCAGGGGGGCGCTGCTCTTCCTCTCCCGCGGCTTCAGGGGGGCGCTGCTCTTCCTCTCCCGCGGCTTCAGGGGGGCGCTGCTCTTCCTCTCCCGCGGCTTCAGGGGGGCGCTGCTCTTCCTCTCCCGCGGCTTCAGGGGGGCGCTGCTCTTCCTCTCCCGCGGCTTCAGGGGGGCGCTGCTCTTCCTCTCCCGCAGTTTCAGGGGGGCGTTGCTCTTCCTCTCTACCCCCTAACCCTGCAAAAGCAGGAGGGGGCGCTCCCATTCCTCGCTGCAAGGCTGAGGGGAGAATTAGTCTTCCACCTCTTCCACCTCTTGTCTTGCAGAGCAGATGGAGTGTCTGAGTTCCTGACCGGGCGTACACCTTGGTGGGCCAATTAGGGAACTGATCTTCTATCTCCTGCACAGCAAAAGCAGGTGGTGCCAGGGTAGCATTAGTGGAGTCCAGTAGTGGCCATCTATACCCAGCAACAACAAAGCCTAGCAAGAATATGCAAGGTAAGTCTAGTCACACCCTGCTTCATACCAACACCCCATCAGCAGGACCCAATGGGAAGCTGAGACTTCACCCCTACTTGGTATTAACAAGGAAAAAGGATGTGGTAGGAGATAGGGTCAGTTGGCACCCTATCTCCTACCACATTCACCTACTTAATTCACCCCTCTCCTTCCCTGGTGTCATTAGCGCCCAGAAGAGAACTGAGCTTCCATCCCAAACCAGGTGACAACAAAGTGATGTGGATCAGCTTTCAACTTCCCCCCTCCTGATGGCAGCCCAGCCCAGTGGGGAGGGGATGATCTCATATTCCCATTTGAAGGCAACTGAGGCCGTGAGATTCAATGCCCTACATCAGCTGAGTAGGTGTTGGCAGGGCCAAAGAGGGGAGCTGAATTTCTACTCCATACCTTTTCAACAACTGTAAGTCAGCTCAACAGGAAGCTGAATATACATGGCCAGTGGACATCTCAATATACCTCAACAAGGGACTCCATGCTAAAAATATTCGATCAATCTTGAGCCACATAATAAAATATCCAAAATGTCTAGGACATGATAAAAAATTGCTCATCATACCAAGGAACCATCAGAACACATACAAAGAATTTACTAAGAACCATCACAGCAACAAGGAACATCACAACATGAATGATAAAGAAATCAACAGATACCAACACCAAGATTAATCAGACATTGGAATTATCTGATGAGGATTTTAAAGCGACTATCATAACCACGCTTCAATAAGCAATTATAATTTCTCTTGAAATAAATGGAACAAAAACAGAAAATTGTATCAAAGAAGCACAAGTTATAGAAAAGAATAAAATGGAAATCATAGAACTGAAAAATATAACCAAAATTTTTTAAATCTCCCTAGATGAACTCAAGAATGCAGTATAGATGACAAAATAGAATCAGTGAACTTGATGACAGATTGCTATGGTCTAAATGTTTGTATGTCCTCAAAAATTTATATGTTGAATCCTAATCATGAAGGTGATTATATTAGAAAGTAGGGGCTCTGGGAGATGATTAGGTCATGAGCAGTTCACCCTCATAAGTAAGATTTATGCCCTTACAAAAGAGGTCCCAGAGAGCTGCCTTGCTCCTTCCACTATGTTAGGACATAGCAGGAAGGCACCATCTATGAACCAGAAAGCAAGACCCTCACCAGACACCAAATCTTCTGGCACCTTGATCTTGGACTTCCCAGTCTCCAGAATATGAAAAATAAATTTCTGTTATTTAAAGGCAACCTGATCTAAGATATTTTATTTTGGACTGGAACACAAATCAATAGAATTTATTCAATCTGAATAACAAAGAAAATATAGACTGAAAAATAAGACAAATATTTCTCAGGAACATTTGGGACAATAGCAACAGAGCCAACATGCACATCTTCAGTTTTGAAATGCAAAAAAAAGACAGAGACTGGACCAAAAAAGTAGTACAAGATATAATAGCTAAAAACTTCCCCTACTTGGTAAAAGACATAATAAACCTACAGGTTCAGTAAGCTGAGCAAATAATTAGCTAAACCCAAAGAAGCCCATGTCAGAAAACATAATAATTAAATTTCTGAAAACTAAGGCCAAGGAAAAAACCTTGAAGGCAGCTAGAGAGAAAACCAATGGAATGATAGCAGATTTCTCATTGGAAACTACAGAGGCCAGAAACAAGTGGCTCAACATTTTTCAAGTACAGAGACAAAATAATTGTCAATGGCAAATCTTATATTCAGTGAAGATATCCTCCAAGAATGAAGAAGAGGAATAATAAACATCTTATCAGGCCAAAAAAATGTAAGAGAATGTTTGCTAGCAAGCTGACTTAAAGAATGGCTAAAGGTAGTTCTCTAAACAGACAGGAAATGATAGGAGAAGGTTAGAACTTTCAGAAAAGAAATAACTTCAGAATGAGTAAAAATATAGTAGACTAGATTACTTATTATGGGTTTTTAATAGACTTTTTAAGAGCAGTTTTAGGCTCACTGCAAAACTGATTAAAAGGTACAGAGATTTCCCATATAGTTCCTGCCCCCACATGTGCATAGCCTCCCTCACTATCAAAATCCCCCACCAGAGTGGTATATTTGTTATGGGTGATGAATATACATTACCCATCATTATCACCCAAATTCATAGTTTACATTAGGGTTCATTCTTGGAATTGTACATTCTGTGGGTCTGGATAAATTTATAATGACATGTATCTACTATTGTAGTATCATACAGAGTAGCTTCACTGCCCTAAAAATCCTCTGTGCCATGCCTCCCCCAACCCCTGACAGCCACTGATCTTTCTACTGTCTCCATAGTTCTGCCTTTTCCAGGATGTCATACAGTTGAAATAATGCAGTATTTCAACTAGACTTTTGGGTTGTCTTCTTTCACTTAAGTCCTTACCTTTAAGTCTCCATGTTTTTTTCATGGCTTTATACCTCATTTCTTTTTAGCACTAAATAATATTCCATTGCCTGGAGGCACCACTGTTTATTTATCCATTCAACTACTGATGGACATCTTGGATACTTCTAAGTTTTGGAAATTATGACTAGAATTGCTATAAATATTCATGTGCAGGTTTCTGTGTGCACATAAGTTTTCCATTCCTTTGGGTAAACACCAAGGAAAATGATTACCGGACCATATGGTAAGAAATCACCAAACTGTCTTCCAAAGCAGCTATACCATTTTGCATTCTTACCAGCAATGAATAAGACTTCTTGTTGTCAGCATTTAGTGTTGTCAGTGTTCTGGATTATTCCAAAAGACATGTAGTGGTATCTCATTGTTGTTTTAATGTGTGTTGCCCTACTGACATGTGATGTTGAGCATTTTTAATATGCTCATTTGCCTGCTATATATATTCTTTGGTAAGGTGTCTGTTAAGGTCTTTGGCCCATTTTTTGATGATGTTGTTTGTTTTCTTATTGTTGAGTTTGAAATGTTCTTTGTATATTTTGAATAACAGTCTTACATTAGACGTGTCTATGTGTCTGTTGCAAATATTTTCTCCCAATCCACAGCTTGTCTTTTCATCCTTTTGACACTGTTTTTCACAGAGCAGAAAGTTTTCCTTTTAATAAAATTCAATTTACCAATTCTTTCTTTCATAGATCATGCCTTTGGTGTTATATCTAAAAAGTCATCACCAAATGCAAAGTCCTAAGGACTTTCGTCTAGATCTCCTAGGAATTTTATGGTTTGATATTTTACATTTAGGCCTGTGATCCATTTTGAGTTACTTTTTGTGAAGGGTGTAAGGTCAATGTCTAGATTTATGTTGGGGGGGGTGGGATTTGTATGTTGATGTCCACTTATCACAGCATCACTGGTAGAAAAAGCTATCTTTTCTCCATTTTATTGTTTTGCTCCTTTGTCAATGGTCACTTGACTCTATTTATGTGAGTCCATTTCTGGACCTTCTATTCTGTTTCATTGATCCATTTGTCTGTTCTTTCACCACCACTATACTATTTTAATTACCATAGATTTGTAGTAAGTCATGAAGCCAGTAGTGGCTGTCCTCCAACTTTGTTCTTCCCCTTCAATTTTGTATTGGCTATTGTGAGTCTTTTGCCTCTCCTTATAGACTTTAGAATCAGTTGTTGATATCCACAAAATAACTTTCCAAGATTTTGATTGAAATGATGTTTAATTTTAACAACATTAAGTTTCCTCTCCCACCACTTATTTAGTGATTTTCTTTCATTCATGACTTTTTGAAATAATATTCAATGTCTAATGCAAAAAATTATAAAACCATCTGATGTGGTACTCCACGTAGGTTGAAGACATACTTCAAACAATTTGGCCAGTGCCAGTGAGTAATTCAAGCACTGTGGGAGGCTGAGGTGGGCAGATTGCTTGAGCCCAGGAGTTTGAGACCAGCCTGGGCAACGTTGCAAAATTCTGTTCCTACTAACAATGCAAAAAATTAGCTGGATGTGGTTGTGTGCATATGTAGTCCCAGCTACTTGGAAGGCTGAGGTAGGAGGATTGCTTGAGCCTAGGAGGGGAAGGTTGCAGTGAGCCAAGATCACACCACTGCACTCCAGCCTGGGTGACAGAGTGAGACCCTGTCTCAAATTTTTAAAAAAGGACTAAAAAAATATTTTAAAATTGGAAGGGTAAAGGAACCTAAATGAAAGTTAGGTTTCTATACTTCACTCAAAGTGGTAGGACAGTATTAGTAAACTACGGTAAGTTATGTATGCACTGTAATACCTCAAGCAACCACTAAGAAAATATAGAATGTGATATACTCTAAAACACAATAAACAAATCAAGACAGTATCCTAAAATAATGTTCAAATAATCCACAGGAAGGTAAGAAAGCAAAAAAAAAAAAAAAGAGAGAAATAAGAGACAGAAGAAACAAATAATAAAGTGGCAGATTTAAACATTGACATATCAATAATTACCCTAAATGTAAATGGTTTAAATACCACAATTAAAAGACAAAGATTGGTAGAATGAATTTTTTATTAAGTCTAAAAATATGCTATCTGCAAGAAATCTGTTTCAGATATAATGACATAGGCAAGTTGAAAGCTAAAAGATTTAAAAAGCCACGTAAATGCTAATCAAAAAGAAAAAGTAGAAGTGGGTATATTTATATCAGCTAGAGTAGATGTCAGAAAAAAGAACATCACTAAAGATAGCAAAATACATTATAATTACAAAAGGATCAATCCACAAAGAAGACATAACGATCCCAAACGTGTACACACCAAACAACAAAGCCTCAAATATGTAAAACAAAAACTGATAAATCGCAAGATGTAGCAGTCTAGGGCCAATCAGAAGAAAGAAATCATGCAATAGGTTAAACAGACAAAGTTTAATACAAAGTATTACTATGATAAAATAATCACTATAAGAAACAGAGAAACTCCATATGGTACCCTCAGGCTGAGAGAGAGAGCACCTAAAAAGATGAAAATGTTGGAAGAGGCACAGATCTCACTAGAGAGGGTATGGTTCAGCCCATCAAACAGCAAAGAAGTTAGCTGATTTGGCCAGACCGGAGTTGGTCTAGAGTCTCTGGGATAAAAATAAACCATCC